AAAAAAAAATGCAATGGTGAATGGATATCTATATTTATTGAGCTTTTGCTGTCTGCCAGGTCCTGTGCTAGGAAATTTACATAAATTAAATCAATAGGAAACTCTCATTTACTAACATTTGCAACAATGACTAAATGGAGATTGGATGAAACTGTAGTGAAAAGTCTGGATTAAGTCCCAGCCCTGCCATTTAGTAGCTATTTTATTTGGACAACTACTGGGCTTCCATTTTCTCCCTTGTATAATCAAGATAATATCACCTGTCCTACCTACCGAAGAGCTGTGTTAGAATCAAATGAAATGATGTTTCTGACACATAATTGGTATGTAATAAATTTTTAATAAAGGAGTGATACATACAGCTGGGCTTTGTATACATGTAATGATATAGCTAGTATCCTTTTTAAAATATATTCCCCAAAAAACATTAAATTTAGACATGGGTTATTCACTCACACAAGATTCTGAGTTACCATCTACGAGAACATCCTGCCTTCCAAAAAAATCTCTGCTCTTAAGTGCCCATTTTCCTTTTGAAGGGTATTATAAATTATCTGAGACATGTTTCCGCATCTTATATATCACTACAATCAAATGAAACAGTCATTAAGAAATCTTTGAAATATTCTTTTGGAATAAATTATGTAAATTTATGTTAATGATGCTATTCTAATCTCCAAAAAGTCATTGAAAGGGTACTGAATCTAAACACATCTATGAAACTGAAAGTTATTTTAAAATATTATTAAGTGCCCATTCTAGCTTATAGAAAGTGAGATTCTGTCTTTTTTTTTTTTTAAAGAAAAAAAGAGATTTTTAACCCTTGTACCTGTTTCAGGCGCTCGAAGTGATAGAGATGTTTTGGGGCCCTTTCCCCAGTACGTGTAAGGAGTGACAGAAAGATTAAATAAGGCATAGGGCTCCAGCCCTTCCACAGTAAATACAGGTAAAGGCTGTTGTTCACTAGCCAAGAACTAAAATATAAGCACAAAACATTATTTTCTCAGAGGGAGAATTATAACATATTTCGTTCCTAATTAACTAAAATCTCCAAACTTTGGTTCACATGTAAAATCAAAACTTGCAATTTTGGAAATGCTAATTTTGGTCAATCCTATGTTTTACCACATAGACCAGTTAAAGTATGTCCGACAGAGCAGTTAGCACTAAGCAGTCAGAGACTGGTTGTAAACAAGTGTTCTTGGGAATAATCTTAATAACCGAATGCCATGGGAATGACAAAGATGGGATTGGCTCAGTGAAGAAAGTACAAATCAGTGTGGGCAGGGCTGATACTGATGGTACAGTTTATTTGGGAAATGGAAGTTACTAGAACCAACACCATACCTTAGAATGAGCACTGAATTCCACACTGTAGAAAACTGCACCCCAGTCCACTACAGGGGGCGCATCCCACAGGACTTGAAAACTTGAGGCGTTTCCCTCAATCCTAAATGAAGACACTTGAACAGAATCTGGGATAACCTTAGGGGTAAAGGAAAAATTCCCTAAGGAATGAAAAAAAGAAAGAAATAGAAGGACAAAGGACTTACGATTATTGATCAATATAGAAATCATGGAAAATCAACAAAAATTACTGATAATCAGAACTAAAACAAAATTTCTCTTTCCTTTAATATATCCTGAAAATGATCTTTTTCTGACTTTTTCAGGCTACAAATTTGGGTTAAGATTAAACTGACTGCAAGAAAACCAACAGAAACTACTAAAGCCTTGTTCCTCTTAAAACATAATTCTTAAGAAAAACTCCCATCTTAACTATTTATTTAACAAAAGGGGTGGGGGAGAAAGGGTAGGCAAGAATAAAATATTGTACCTGGCAGCGGTTTGAGGGATGTCTGAATAATTGTGAACTGATTAAATTTGGCTGCTTCCAAAACAGAGACACTGGTTCTCTGACCTATTTCCTGAGTTGTGATAATCCTAAAGCCATTGATCCAGAAGAGCCGACCACTGTAGTACATCAGTGCATTCTGGGAAATTTCAGAAGTACTCCAGGCTGCAAATTCTGTGATGATGGTATCCCCAACACTGCTAAAACACAACACCAATTAGCGTGTGTCTGAAGTGGGGGAAGGGCTGTTCCATGCAAGTCCTCCTGAGAATATGTATTTGTGAGTATGTGTATGTGCATACCTATGAAAAGAAACAAAATACTTTGTGACAATAATTGTCATTATTTTTAGTTTCATATTATGTTGATTTTTTACATTTTTCTTAAAGCAGTAGAGCTAAAATAAATTTTCTAAGGGCTTTTCTTATTAATGCAATATTGCAATCGTTAAGACTGTTTACACAGGTTTCAGCTTTTAAAAAAGATTTGTGATTTTGGTAAAACTCTACGTCAAAGGGACAACCTGAATTCTCATTACTCGATTAGTACAGAGATTACATCTTTAGTTTATTCCAT